TAAATATATATCTAAAGTCGCCAGTAGGTAGCGGCAAATCACTGCACGAGTGAGTCATTGAGTCATTCATTCAACCGATTCGTGCATGCAGCTGGTATGACTAGAGTGGCCGTGTTGGAGTCATAATGTGCTGCATAGGTGTGCAGTGTAAATAAGGGGTTATCCATCCAAGCATTAAAGGGATAGTTCACCCAAAAATGAAAATTCTGTCATTAATTACACACCCTTCGAAGAAAAAAAAAAAACGACTTCATTCAACAATCCGTCTCCACCCTATAGTGCCATTTTGGAGAGTATCACATACATAAACAACATATTGTTACGTCCGGGGACGTAGTCTCTCTCTCTCGCTCTCTCTCTCTTAGGTGACTCCGCCCTAATTGGACATAAAAGACGCATCTGCTGATTCGTCCCGGGAGATCCAGCATCTTTTGAAATAGTGGGACCGGAGGAGGTGGAAGCCAGAGAGAGAGAGCAGAGCTGTTGGCAGTGTTGTGCATCACGTCTCGTTATAGCCTAGCGTGTGGCTTTTCTTTCTTGGTGTTGAGAATCTTGTTGTGCATTCTCGTGATTACTTAGTCCTTTATAATTTTATGTTACCTACTGTTTTGTTGTCTAAAGCTATTTTGTTAATTTTCTTTCCTTGTTATTCCTGTTAAGTTAAGTTGGCGAGTATGCCGCTATTCCTCTGTATTTTGCAAATATTGTGAATAGCGTGTCTCTCCACCATGAAGGCTGTAGGGATTGGGTGCCGGTTTTCTTTATTGTAAATATCGTTTTCTCCTGTTTTTGTGTTAGCTAGGGAGTTAGGGAAGAATGCTGTCATTTGTTTTCTTTTCTTTTCACTTAGACTAATTAGAGTCTTGGGTACAGGTAGTGATATGTTTTGTTTGTTGTTTTGGCCCTGATCAATCCCGAAGGGATAGCCTGGTTATGGTTATGCTACAAATGAGACTTCAAAAGGAAAAATAAATTCACCAACACAAAGGTAACAGCGGTTTCAGACTTCTTTATTTATGTTATTTTCCGACCCTAGACCAGGGTCGTAACAATATGTACACAGATACGTTGTTTACGTTCAGATCAAAGCACTGATGTCACATGGATTATTTTAACAATTTCCTTGCTACGTTTCTGAGCCTTGATCGTGTTAGCATCCTTGCTGTCTATGGGAGTGTCAGAGAGCCCTCAGAATTCATCAAAAATATCTTCATTTGTGTTCCAAAGATGAACGAAGGTCTTACAGGTTTGGAACGCGGAGCAGCAATGTATGAGGTGTTTCTTGAAAGCTATAGTACATTAAGGAATTATGTGATTTTTACATACATCAGGTGACCTGTAAATGTGAGAAGAAAAAAAAAAACGTTTCCATTGCAATTTTGCGATATATTCCTTTTTCAAATTGCCTGAAAAACCACCTAATGAGAATGTAAAAAACCTTTTTGCGATATATGGGAGTTTTTAGCGAAATTTGTGTGTTTCCATTGCAAGAAGGCTTCGGCTTTTTAATTTTACTTAACATTATTTTATTTATCCATAATACTGAAGAGAACTTTTTGAAAGATAGTTTATCTTTATAGGTATCGTTCTTGGTGTGAATGGGGCTTTAAGCTTGTTAGCCCCCTGTGTGTATATATATATAGCCCTAGTTTTTCTTTAGTTCCTTGTGAGTTGTTGAATGTAATGGTTTTTTGTTTGCCAGTCATTCTGTTCGTTGTTCCCTTTGGTTTTTGCCTTTTTGTTTGTTCTAGTTTTTCCATGAAATGCCAGCACATAGATCCTTGCCTCTGCCTGTTTTCCGCAGCTTCTTCAGAATGTTACAGTATTTGACTGGCATGTCTCTTTGACTAGTGCATCTTTGAGCCTATATTTAGTATAAGTAAAATACTTAAGTACTGTTAAAATCAGATACTCTAAGACTTTTACTCAAGTTGTTTTGGAATTGGTGACTTGTAACGTGTAGTGGAGTAATTTTCACTGTAAGGTATCTGTACTTTTACGCAAGTATGGTTTTTAGGTACTCTTTACACCTCTGGTTTCCAATATGTATGTTTTCAATTCGCAATTTCAGTTTGCGCAATTTGAAGGGTAATTAAAACAGCTAGAGACGTAAAACAGTTCTGCTGTGGCCTTGTTTGAAACAATTTTCGTTGACAAAATGGAGCAAAAACAGAAACTTTTGTGTCTAAAATGTAAGTCGATTAATATTAACTTCTTGTTTATTGGACTGTTTTATAAAATCAATATCACATTTGCCATCGTGCTGATATTTGGAGAAAAACTGTACTCTTCGTGTGATATTAAGTATATGATATAAATATAAAAGGCATATAAAAGTCCTATAGGGGCATTCAGTTAGGTCCATATATATTTGGACACTGACACAATTTTCATAATGAGATCAGGCGATTGACTTGCTATTGCAGAATATTCCACTTTTTTTTACCTTAAAAAATTCCTGGGTTGTTTTTGCTGTATGTTTTGGGTCATTGTCCACTTGTACTATGAAGCGCCATCCAATCACTTTTTGGCTGAATCTCAGCAGACAGTATATCCCTGTACACTTCAGAATTAATCCGGCTGCTTCTGTCCTTTGTCACGTCATCACAAAACACCAGTAACCCAGTGCCACTGGAAGCCATGCATGCTCATGCCATTACACTGCTCCTCCATGTTTCACAGATGATGTTGTATATTTTGGATCATGATTTTTTGGATCCCTTCTCCCTACTTTTTTCTTCCCGTCATTCTGGTACAGGTTGATCTTAGTTTCCTCCGTCCAAAGAATGCTTTTCCAGAAGTGGTCTGGATTTTTAGATGTTTTTTGACAAAGTCTAATCTGGCCTTTCTATTCTTGAGGCTTATGAATAGTTTGCACCTTGTGGTGAACCCTCTGATTTTGCTCTTGTGACAAAATCTCTTGATTGTAGACTTTGACAGTGACAGGCCTACCTTCTGGAGAGTGTTCTTAACTTCACTGGATGTTGTGAAAGGATTTTTCTTTACCATGGATAGGATCCTCCAATCATCCACCACTGTTGTCCACCATTCTGTTCTTTTTTTTTCAGAATGTACCAAACTGTTGATTTTGCTACTCTTAATGCTCCTGCTATCTCTCTAATGGGATTGTTTTGTTTTTGAAGTCTAACAATTGTCTGTTTCACTTGCATGGAGAGCTCCTTTGACCGCATGATGTGGGTTCACAGCAACAGCTTACAATCAACTCCAGAACTTTTACCTGCTCAACTGATGTAGAAATAACGAAGGAATACTCCACATCGGTCTATGAAACAGTTTTTGAGTCAATTGTCCAATTACTTTTGGGCATAAAAGGGGGGAGGTACATATTAAAGGGCTGTAATTCCTTAACCTTTCCTCTAATTTTGATGAGTATACCCTCAAATTAAAGCTCAGAGTGTGCACTTTAAAGGGGTCATATGACATTACTAAAAATAACATTATGTTGTGTATTTGGTGTAATGCAATGTGTTTATGCGGTTTAAGATAAAAAAACACATTATTTTCCATATAATGTGCATTATTGTTTCTCCTCTATGCCCCACCTTTCTGAAATGTGTCGATTTTTACAAAGCTCATCGTTCTAAAAAAAGAGAGGTGTGCTCTGATTGGCCAGCTATCCAGTGCATTGTGATTGGCCGAATGCCTCAAGCGTGTGACGGAAATTTTACTCCCCTTAACATACTGTGATGCCGTCTCCCAGCAGGACGAGACTCAGTCCAGCTGCTCTGCTCGTGCACATCCCATCATCGTTTCTCTTTTAGCAGTTCAGTCAATGTACTTTTAGGAGTAACTGAATAACTCGGGATATCGGTTTATTTCACGTCAGAGGGAGTGTCAGGCACGTTTATAAACCGAATAACTTGAGTAATTTGTGGATTAGTGCATACTGGAGATTCAGTTCGATTTGGTGAACTGGTTCGACCATAAAACCATGTCTGCATTTGTGATCGGAGAAACAACAAACAACAAGCCTACTCTACACTGCTCAAAACTCGCGTTTGAATCATCATTGGCAAATTATTTGAATACAAAAAATGTACTTACAGGCTGTGAGTCAGAAGCGCCAGACTGTCCTTGCAAAGTTGGAACTGCCCAACTTTATAGAAACAGCCTTTGTGCCACTCATTAGGCTACTGGTTCTGGAAACAGTCCTCATCCAATAAAAGAATATCTCTTTGGATTTGAGACTTTAGTCTTTGCAACTTTACAGATCTTCTTTATGCACCAAGTGCTTGTAACACTCCAAAGAGAAAGGAAAAATTGAAATCGCATCATATGACCCCTTTAAAGCTCATATGCATTATATAACTTTAATTTGAATATGTTTTGGTCAATGGCTAAAATAACAAAAATTGTGCCTGTGTCCAAATATATATGGACCTAACTGTATTTGGCCACTTATATTGAATTTTGGGGGAATTCTAAATGCATTTTAATAGTCTAGATCACGCAGTGAAAGTATGAACTGTAAATGTGCAGTAGTCTAACCCAGGGGTTTTCAAACTTTTTGGAGCCAGGGACACCTTACAAGGGAGAAATTTTCCAAGGACTCCCTCATATTTATAACAGTGTTTAAGGCTAAAGTTTAATGTGGGTAGAAGGAATGAACATAATATGATTGTTTTATTGGTGCAAATGGTCCCCATTGTATATGTACTTTTTAATACAACAGCATAATATTGTAAATTAAATTTACAATATTTTCCGGAAAGTTGCACCAGAGGGGAAAAATCTAAAAACATAAGTTGCATCGGTGTGTAAGTCACATTTTACTGTTACTTTCAGAAATAATTTAAATACTGAATAGGTCTAAGTAAAAACGAATGTTAGGAAAAAACAAACACTAACATGAATTTTACTTCGCCTCACTCCAAATGTTTAAATTTAGTGGAATTCATAACAGAACAAAAATAAATGCATATATGTATAAAAAAATAATAATTAGTGCCGTTCATTACAAACAACATTTATTTTAAATGCTATGTCCATTGGCGCCTATCCCATGGGTGCTCAAGCCCCTGAAAAACAAGAGATAGTCTCCTTTCATTTTAACCAATAAGAAATGGATTGCAGCTTTTACAACTTTATGCTCACATTTATAGTTAATTTGAGGAAGTTTTTGGCGTTATTTTACTGGCAAAATGTCGAGAGTGCATTATTGTAATACGAGAGGGCGCCAGCACAAATCTCTCTTGCAGTGGGCGTGATCTCCCATATAGTGATCATGGCTCTGCACTCTCTCAGATATTAAGTGTTTTATAAAAAAAAAAAATGCTTGTTTTTTTTTAATGCAAAAAACAGTGTTTGGAAAAACACCACGGAATGTCGATGCTCATGCTGACCGGCAAAACCTAAATATTGTACAATAGACAAGTTAAATTGAGTCACCAAATACCTTTTGTATGTTTAGTTGTCTAATTTAGTTTGCCGATGATGAGGCTGTGATGTCAAGTTGCAATGCTAGAACTGATATGTTGTGTGCGCGCAGGAGGCGCCAGCGCAAACACTTTGGATTCCTTATATCAGCGGAAAAATGTGATATCCGTCAGATAAGAGCAAGACAGCATTCAAAACGGTCTATTTTTATTAGTGTACCTTCAAAATGACAGTGAAACATTGTGCTTTTGTAAAATAAAGAAAACAAACTAGATGCGCTTGCCGTCTTGGTCTCTGTGAACCTCTTACTAAAATCAAGAAAAACTCAGCGATACTTTCTACTTGTCAAACAGACATGAGAAATATATTTAGCTATATGAAGTGCCCGCTTTTAAGTGTTTACCCTTTGCTTATTTGACAATGCATTAAATAAGTCACGTTGGAATATAAATTATAACACATTTCAGAAGATAAAAAAACGCAAATTATTTTGCAGACCCCCTGGCTTTGCGTCACGGACCCCCAAGGGACCCCAGTTTGAAAACCCCTGGTCATGTAGTGCTACATCATGTAGTGCAGGAGTCTCCAACCTTTTTGTGAGTGAGGGCTCCCTGAAGGGATAAAATAGTCTCAAGGGCTACTTTTGATATACTCCAATATATATATATAAACCATTAATAAACATTAATGATTTCTCACAAGCATTAAAAATTTTTTATCAATCCAGGAAAAAATTCCAGATAAATTTATAAAAAATAGGCTATCATACAATATTGATATTTATCATGATATTCATTTACTATTAATGGTGAAGGAAATTCTTTCTACATGTTTGTTAGACCTTGAGAATGAAGGTAAACATAACTTTGTTCACAATTAAATTCCACAGAGGAGCTACGTTTTAATTTAGGGTCCAATGAAATGCATTTTATTTTTCCCTAAATTCTGTCTCTTCCATTTGATTTCTTATGGATTCCATGTTTTATGATTCAGTACAAATTTATTATAAAACATGGTGTCTAGTGAAATGAATTAATACAAACTATTTAATTAATCCTTTAAAACGTAATCAAATGAAAATCAATTGCAAAACATAGCATTTTTATTTTTATTTTATCAGACATGATGCTGCACAACAGAACTGTATAAATTAATAATAATAATAAATAACTTGGTTGTATGATATTCCTTAAAAATAGTAATATTATTATTATTATTGCCGTGAAGGTCTTTCAGTTTTGGTGAAGTGACTCTCAGGGCAGCTCTGAAGATGAAGCGCATGTGTTCATGTCCTCACGCTGAAAACACCGCGAGTCGCGTGTGTTTGAGTGTGTATCAAATGAAACTACTCCATGCATTCACACAAACACACAGAACATGCAGACTTATTAGCGACATGCACTGGCTGGTTGCTATAACATTTATTTCTGTTGTGTGATAGGATGTTGGATTAATCCATATCGAGTAAAATGTCCAGAGCTTATCATTATTAACATAAATTTGATCATAATCTCGATATCATTTATCGCCTGGCGCTAATTTAAGCTATTTATAGAACGTGCTTGGCAGTGCCCACGGGCACCACGTTGGTGACCACTGATGTAGTGTATGAATGCACTCTCTGGGTGTGTTTTTGTTTGGTTTTTGCAATATACTTGTTAATGTCAAATCGCATATCCTTTAAACAACAATTACAATATTATTGTAGACAATATATCGCACACCCCTACCAGGAAGTAAAAATGTTGTTCTCTTCAACTCACTGTGTGGAAGCTGTTTTGGACCCCACTGACTTTCACTGTATATTATATATTTCACTGTATATATTTTTCAAAATATCTTATCATATAGGTTTGGAAAGACATGAGGGTGCTTGAATTGACCATTTTCATTTTGGGGTGAACTATCATGTACTAACACTGCTATTAATACTAGTAGTTTCAGAATTTCTATCAACAACGTTTGAAAACATAAGCAAAGCCTGAGGTGACACGAACAGGAAGGAGTCATGTCTCTCAAAGAAAAAAAACATATAAAGAAAAGTAGAAAATGTCTCAATTGCAAACCTCGAGCGCTCCTCTAACAGGAAGAGCAGTGATGGAAGTGTCAAAACTGTCTCCAAATCCAGTAAGAAACAGTCATTTTGACAACAAGCCTCTATTATCCGCCTAACCCATGATAAGACAGTTTGCCAGCAGCTGTCTTGCTCATGGAGCCTCTATCACCTTTTCCAGCTCTGGGTTGGAAATAGGGCCCATTTTATTCACAGCAGTGCATCAAAAACTCCAGTTGTGTTGAACTGAAAATGAATGGCACAATATGTTTTATAGTTCCATATAAAGGAAAACCTTCATGGAATATTCAATATTTGTGAAAACTGCAATATAGCATCATGCTCTACATTCCTTCAAAGCCTCAGACAGAGATAACAACCATACAATTGAATTGTGGTTCTATAATTTAAGCTTGAACCAGCTATTTGCATTTATTGATTTTTAATATACTCAACATTATCATACTACATGTTTCAGGCTGCATTACAGTCTGTCTGCAGTTTTGAACTGTCTAAGGTTGGGAGGCTAAATTATTCCTCTTTCATCTCCTCCTTTCATGATGACCCTGAACCTTACACACACACACACACACACACAAACTCCAATCAACAAAGAGGCAGCAATTTAATTTCTCCACAAGCTTAAAGGCGAAGTGCTAGCCTTCTGAAAAGAGATGAGATTTTCTTATTAATGTACAACAGTACATCATCAGTCTGACCACAAACAATACGGCCTGATTCACCTTACTGTGACTACTCATTACTTATCCCATTATTGGTGTCATACCCTTTGTCAACCATCATTTTCACTTGTGTTGAAAGTCATCATGATGTAGGAACATAAGCTGATAAAAATAGGCTTCAAAAAAGCATGAGTAATGAAACCGAAACTGATGCAAAAGAACTTCAGGTTATTCTGGAAAATAACTGCTTGCTTGGAGAGTAAGAAACCATTTGATTAATATGTCAAAGAATGTGAAGCCACAAACCTGGCAAATTTTGCCATTTTCAGTGATTAATTCTTCCTCATACCCTCTCATTATTTCAAGCCGGTACATTTTAAACACAATTTAGTTTCCTGGCGGACTGATAAAAACCTGTGCACCTGGAGTCCCGAGTTGAAGCGCAGCCAGGAAAGTCAAAGGACTTTGAGATTTTCAGTTTTGTTTGCAATATGCATCAGATGGTCAGTGAACAGAATGTGGGCAGACTGTAGGCAGTCTGTCAGAGACTGTGTTGGTTATCAGTATAGAAATAAGATCCTCTGGAACTAGATTTCTTATTCTATTATTAGTATTCCTCCCCTGAGCTTTCACATCTGAACAAAAACTAATTCAAAAGCACAAATGGGGTTGTTTAGCTTGAAGGTAAATCATGCATGGCACTCTACCTCTCTCCGTTCGCTGCAGATCTTGCAAAGCCACTGAGCCCTTTTTTGACTGCCTGCAGTCTCGATTCCACATTTGGTGCACACCTTCTGCAACACAAACACGCATACCATTAGAACAAGTTAAACAAACACGCAACCTGATAACTACTGTAACTAATGCATTAAAAATACATTAATATACACATATACACACACATTGATAAATTCATACATATAATTATAAGAAACTTGTCATATATATTTATTTATATATAAAAAAAAGTTATAATGTGATATTCTGCTATAATTATAAATGTGTTTATGATTTAACAATTTCATCTTTCATCCAGTGAAAGGTCAGCTTTTTTGCTCAAAACAACAGAGAAAGTGTACCACAATTTGTGCACCACCACTGTTATTTAAGGTTTTATTTTTTATTATTATTATTTATTTTTTTAAGTTTACCAGCAAGATTATTGGACACACAATTTTGTGTGAATGCAGAAACACATCCACCCTGCAATCGTGCTGATTGTAAAAAGCATCATCCCTCTTCACACTAAAATATATTAAAGGGGTCATATGATGCTTTTTTAAAGATTATTATTTTGTGTATTTGGTGTAACAGAATATGTTGACATGCATATAATTTTTCAAATACTGTACATTATTGTAGGTCCTCTATGCCCCGCCTCTCTCAAACGCTTCGATTTCTACAAAGTCCCTCCTTCCGACAAGCGCAGTCTGCTCTGATTGGCCAGCTGACCCAGTGCATTGTGATTGGCCGAACACCGCAAGCACTCGTCGGAAATGTAACGCCCCTTACCATAATCGCAGCTTCAGCTTTCAACATAAATGTAAAGACAGTAAATAATGTCATTAGTTTTACCATCAGTTCAAGCGCGAAAGGGGAACAGAGTCGAGTGACAGACACAGTGATGAAGCTGGTATGTGTTTGCAGTACACAAGCCATGGTTAAGACAGCTGACTCCACTGTGATGTGACCCTGTCTCTCTCTCTCTCTCTCTTTGAGTGAATGGTGAGACTGAGCATGGTGAGTGCGTTGGAGAGCGTGTGGTAGTGTGAGTGGTTTTTCAAAACTTTTCTCTTTTTTTCTTTTATTGTTTTTTGTTGTGGTTTGTTTGATCTTTAGTGTAGGTTATTGTGAGTTGTTTGTAGAGCGGCGGCTGCAGCATGGCTGCAGGCAATCAGCTTGGTTTATATAAGCTCATGCGCCGGCACGCTATTAAGCTGTCTCCGCCGGCCAGTTGTTCGGTAGAGGATTGCAGTTTAGCGGTCGGAGAAGAGGTCGGTTTTGGAAGTATCAAATCCGCCTCGTGGATGAACAGCGCTGTTGTGATATTTTTGGATAACATAGACAAAGCGAATCAGTTAATTGAGAATGGAGTTGTAATTCAAGGTACTTTCATACCTGTTCTTTCTTTAGTGAATCCTGCTAAAAAGATCATCATCTGTAATGTTCCTCCTTTTCTCAAAAATGAAGTTTTGGCTAAAGAGTTACAAAGATATGGTCAGCTAGTATCTCCGATTAAATTGATCCCCATGAGTTGTAAATCCCCTCATTTAAAACATGTTATGTCTTTTAGGAGGCGGGTACTCATGGTGCTTAAAAGCAATGATGAGGAACTGAACTTGGTGTTTAAGTTTAAGATTGATGATTATGATTAGAGATGATGAAGTGCTTCGGGTGCGGAACTGTAGGCCATCTGATCCGGTCGTGCCCGGAGAGGTTAACGTTAGGTGAAACCACCGCTAATGTGGAGTAACAGTCGAGTACACGCGGAGTTGCCGCTTCAGTTACAACAAAGGTAAGTACACGAACTGCAAGAGAGGAAAGCGACGATAGTAATCCCGAGAAGGAAGTTATGGAGGAATTAACGAGCAAGCAAAGAGAGTTGGAAGTTCAACGAGATCCAAAGGTAGGCACTAAGACTGTTCATATCGTTACTAGAATAGCTGAATCAGCGCTGCTTGATGAGAATGTTGTGTGTGATAGCGATCTGGTTAAACAGTATATCAAAAGAAAAGAGCTAGATAACACGATGAACGCAGATCAGGCTAGTAAAGTATCAAAGTTGGCTTCAGTGAACGGCTCGCAGTCTGAAGAGAGCTCGATGGACACGCAGGAGAGTGTAGGTGAGTTTAGTGCTGACACACAGGTGGAAGCGGAGAGCGTTTACCCTTTCACTAGACTCCGTTCATTGATGACTTTTTCCCTGATTTAAAGATGTTTCTCGATTCAGTCAAGCTGTTTATGAAAAATACTGATCGGTCTGATCAGTTTCCTTTCAGTGATCAAGAAACTTATCATCTTAAGAAATTGATGCTCAAAGTTAGATCGCAAATAGCCAATGATGGTTCATTTTCTTTTGTTCTTCTCTCTCTTCTGTGTTCATATCTCTGGTTTATTTAAATGGCAACCCCAATGCATTTCTTCATCTAATATGTGTGAAGTAAAGCCAGGATCTTTAAACAGCAATGGTGCCAGGGAGGATGTGAAGAGAGCGGCTCTTTTTAATCTACTTAAAGTGAGAAAACTTCATGTTGTATTCCTGCAAGAAACGCATAGTTCAGTAGAGAATGAAGCCGACTGGAAGAAGGAATGGGATGGGGAAGTGTGTCTTAGTCATAAGAGCAGTAACAGTGGTGGAGTTGGGATCTTGTTTTCTAAAGATTTGATACCAATATCTTTTGTTACTGAGGAAATTGTTAAGGGTCGGTTATTAAAGATACACACTGTCTTTGAAAAGGTAAAATAGATTTTTATTAATGTATATGCTCCAACTGTGGGAACTGAAAGGGTAATGTTTTTAAACACTTTAAACAATGTTATAAGAAATTGTTCTGATGATTGTTATTTGATCCTTGGGGGTTATTTCAACTGTACTGCCACATGGGTTGATAGGAATCACATAGAACCTCATGGTCCCAGCAAAACGTGTTTAATCAATTTAATTGAATCCAATAGTTCATGTGATGTTTGGAGGTTTTTTCATCCTTCCCAGCGTCAATATACCTGGACTCATGCTAAGGATAATTCTATTTCTCTAGCTAGACTGGATAGATTTTATTGTTTCAAACATCAAACTAATGTTCTGAGAAATTGTTCAATACATCCTGTTGGTATTTCTGATCATTCCTTTGTTCAATGTTCTAATTTTATCAAAGATGTGAAATGTAATAGTGCTTTTTGGCATTTTAATGTAACTTTGCTTGATGACAATGTTTTTAGAGATACTTTTAAGTTTTTTGGGGATGGCTTTAAAAATACAAAATCTGAATATGTTTCTTTGCAGCAGTGGTGGGACATAGGAAAGAGTAAAATCAAACAGCTTTGTTTTTCAATATACTTTAAATGTTACAAAAGATATGACCAGATCTATGAAAGCTTCAGAGAGTGAAATAGTGGAGCTGCAAGAGTTAGCAGTCTCCACATGAGAAGGAGAACACTCAAAAGGAAAAAAACAGCTCTGTCCAACCTGTTAGGTTTTTCTGCTCAAGGTGCTCTGGTCCGTTCACGTTTTCAAAATGTGGTTAAAATGGATGCTCCTTTTCATTTTTTCTTTGCCCTAGAACGAAAAAATGGGCAAAAGAGACTCATGCATTCTTTGCGAAACAACACTGGACAACTACTGCACGAATCTGCAGAGATACGGAAATGTGCTGTTGACTTCTATGAAAAACTGTTCAAGAAAGAGTCTCAAGAGACACCAGAGGTAGCACAGTCCTTTTATGAGGGCTTACCACAGGTTTCAGAGGAGACTAACATGAAGCTGGGTGGTCCAATCTCTGAAGCTGAATTATACACAGCACTGAGTGAGTGGCAAGGCTCCAGGTATTGATGGGATTCCTGTGGACTTTTATAAAGTTTTTTGGAATGAAATTGGCAAAGACTTGTTACTTGTGCTAATGGACAGCCTTGAAAAAGGAGTTTTACCACTAAGCTGCAGGAGGGCGATCCTTACTCTTCTTCCTAAGAAAGGTGACCTGCAAGAGATAAAAAATTGGCGACCAGTGGCTTTACTGTCGACTGATTACAAGCTGCTCTTAAAAGTACTAGCCATGAGACTGAAAAAAGCAATGGAGCAAATTATAGATGTGGACCAGACCTACTGCATTCCTAACAGGTTGATATCTGACAACATTATTTTAATCCGCGATGTTTTGGACCTTTCCAGTTCTTTGGGTAGTGAACTTGGTTTAATTTCAATAGACCAAGAAAAGGCGTTTGACAGAGTTGAACATCAATATTTGTGGCAAACGTTGGAAGTGTTTGGTTTTAGTCCAAGTTTTATAGCAATGATCCAGGTTTTATACAGAGATATTGAGAGTTTACTAAAGATTAATGGGGGTTTAAGTGTTCCTTTTAAGGTTCAGAGGGGAATTAGGCAGAGCTGTTCTCTCTCTGGAATGCTTTACTCACTAGCCATCAAGCCTTTCCTACATAAACTAAGAAGACTCCTTCCAGGTGTATCCCTTCCTGGCTGCAATTCAGTTTTTAAATTATCTGCTTATGCTAATGATGTGGTTATTTTTGTCAAGAATCAAGATGACATTAATATTCTTGAGGAATGTATAAATGATTTCAGTGTTTTGTCATCTGCAAAAATCAACTGGGGGAAAAGTGAAGCCATAGCTTTTGGTATTGAGTTAGTTAAAAAGACTGTCTTGCCTAATAGGCTATCTTGGGCTACGGGTGGTTTTAAGTATCTTGGTGTGTTTTTAGGAGACAATTCATTTTTGTGCAAAAATTGGGACAATGTTTTAGAAAAAATTGGAGGACGTCTCAGGAAATGGAAGTGGATCTTACCACACATGTCTTTTAAGGGTCGTGTATTAGTGATTAACAACCTAGTGTCATCTATGTTGTGGCATCGCCTGATGTGTGTAGATCCTCCGCCACAGCTGCTGGCAAAAATACAAGCAGTTTTAGTCAACTTTTTCTGGGATCATTTACATTGGGTCCCACAATGTCTTTTGTTTTTGCCAAAGGAAGAAGGAGGTCAAGGACTCATTCATCTCGCTAGTAGAGGTGCTACTTTCAGACTCCAATTTATACAAAGACTTCTGTTTGGACCAGAAAACCT